AAGAGGACAGCAAAGTGTTCTAGATGCAAGGTCAGACCGTTTGGCCTTGGGAAAGTCATGTTTTGTCTCTCTGAGCCCCAGTTTTTGAATCCTCCAAATAAGGGAGACCAGTGCCTTCCTCATAGGGATCTAGTGAGGGTGAAATGCAGTCATAGATCCAAAAATACTTTATAAATTTTAATAAAATGCATGCAGCTTGTCAATTCCCCCACTTGAGAGTGGAGAAACCCACCTTCCAGGGTGTCAATGCAAATGAAATGATGGCACTTAGCCCATAATATGTGCTTGGTAAAAGAGAACTTCTTTCCATCATGGTTACGAAATCTTTCTCCCACTTGATGTCAGTTACTAGAAAACCTGGGTCTCAGGCACATTAGCCTCTGACCTGAGTCAGCCTCAAGCTTCTGCACATCTTTGCCTAAAAGCATAATAAGATTCCCTTCCTGTTTCTGTCCTTCCAAAGCAAGAAATGATGACATTACCTCTAGCGTGGTGCCTGATGCATAATCAGTGATTCGTGTGCTTCCCTGCCCTCTTGGACAGTGGCCTCCATGGAGGTGGGATTGGGACCCTTTGCTGAGGGCTTCCTGTGTGTTGAGTGAATGAGTGATCCAGCTGAAAAACCAGTGTCTGCTTTGTAAACTAAAAGTAAAATCCTAAGCTCCCCCACTGACTGAATGGACCCCTGCCTTGGCCAAGGGGTCCCTAGAAAAACCTTACAACTTTGTTCCTCACCATGACAGGACAGGAGGTCAGATATGTCTGGTTGTATCCCCCTCCTTTTCAAACCTTAGACACAACAACTGACAAGCATTAATGTGAAAATAGAGATCGTAAGACTGACAGAATCATTTTGGAAATAATATACCAAATTATAAACAGGACCCCAGGCAAGGCTAAGTCACACACTATGTATACTTAAAGAATAAACTATGTTCTGACCGCCACGAGGTTTTTTTTTCTCTAGCAGCTAAACAAGCACTGGCCTCGAGATAAGCAATATTACGACAATTACAGCTCACCACAGTTCACAGATGCTGACTACCTGAGCCCCTGTTCCACCAGCCATTGCTACAGCTTTGATTGGACAAGAGGCTGATTTTGGTAACGTTCTCCTGATAAGTTGGCCACCGACCAGGGACTGACTCTGGTCAGTTTACAGAGATGGTGCATTCACACACCTTTGTGTCCTGAAAAGCCCCTTTGACCTATAGGGCCTAAAGGTAATACATTTCCATATTAAATCTCCACCCCAATGTAAACAGAGGTCATTTGTAATATATATTTGTTCAATACACATGTGTCAGTGTCAGGGCCACCTTCATGAATACTCACAGCTCTTCCTCTTCCTGCAAACTGATGAATGTTTATGTTCAGCCAAACCTTTCAGCATAAAACTCCTACCCCAACCTCTCCTTCTTTGAAATACCTGTCTCTGGTCTTGGCTGGAGGCTGTGCTTCCGGGCCTGTGGGATGGCCACCTTGCAGTTGTAACCCTTTACAAGAAATAAAGTTACTTTCTCCTTTTCTAAATTTACAGCTCTTGTTATTTTTATTATTATCATATATTTTTACTTAACAGTTTTCTACCTGGACACCTTCTCAATTTGTCACTCGTGGGACTCTCAGAGCCATACCCGAGGCTCTTCCGACCTGCAGGCCCAGCGGGGTTTTTCTCCAGCCTTCATCCTGCCTCACAGCCGAGTCTCACTGTCTGGGCCCTGTTCTCCCTCCCTCCCTCCCTCCCTCCCTCCCTCCCTCTCCACTGCCTCCTGCTAGAGTCCGTTTCTGTGCAAAGGGTGTGGCCTGAGGTCAGCACAGGGCAGCAAGCCTCCTCTGCCGGCAGCCCTTGGGGATAAGGACGAGGCAGTAGACTCACTGTAATTTGGGGCCTCGGTGGGGCAGGGCCACTCACGTTGGCATTTGGATCTGCACCTTTTCTCTGTCCCTGAAGAGAAGGGGCTGGCGGGCGGCATGGTGAGTAACCACACAGGCTTTTTTTGCAGCCCTGTGTACAAGGTTTCGTCCCTAGGACAGGGAGAGTCTCTTCCCATCCAAGGCTCAGGTGAGGTCCTCTATACAAAGGACAAAGGCTGGTGTTTACCTTCCCATCACGCATGGGAGAGTTGGCGGGATGAGGCCAGAGCTCAGCCTGGTGCCCGGCTTCGGGGTCCATTGGACGAATTATCTTGCTGGGTCACATTGACCTTGCACTGAATGGTCATCTCCTCGACTTGCTTGGTGGCTGCTAGTGACCACCTACTATGAGGAACCTGGCTCTGAACTGGGCCCCGGGCTTATGAGATGAATGAACTAGAACTCTGATTTCAAGGAGCTCTCAGTCTAGTGGGAAAGGCAGGTGTGTAAACATATAAAGGCACAAACTGGAGGTGGGCGGGGTGTAAAAAGAGAGGGGATGGATTCCACTTTCACTGGAGGCAAAGCGGGAAAGGCACAACCGGAATGAGATGCCAAAGCTGAGTAGCTGCTCAGCAACAGAGGAGCTTGAGGTGGGGAGAGCGGGCCTCAGTGGCTCCTCTGTAAAATGGATGGCAACAGCCCCAACTGTGGTACCCGGGGTGACATGAGGCAGGGTAGTCTGGGACAGCTTGGGAAAAGCGGTGGCCCAACAGCCCCACAGCCCTGACCAAGGGGGAGTCCTGTGGTGGCGTCAGCGTTAGCCCAGTGGAAGGACTGGAGGCAGGGCCACCTCTGAAAGCCACAGGCTTCAAGTCAGTGTCAAAACGGCAGGTGGAGGGTGGGGCTTACAAAGGGTTTGTGCAGACTCTAGGGCTGCTTAGCATGTTAAATGGCACTTCGTCTGGATTTGGCCTTCTGGGGAATTGTTGACCAATCAGCAGCCCCTGAGGTCACTGTGCTGTCCCAGGGCATGGGGATGGGGGCAGATCAGAAAGGAGGTCACCATGCCCTGCCTCGAAGGCGTGTGCCCCGAGAGCTCCCCCTCCTCCCTGCAGGAAGGGGGCCTAGAGTGAAGGGGCCAGAGGGTTGTTGAGGGAGTGGTGAGAGCTGGCATTAGCTGAAAGGCTCTAGGAAGTTCCCTCCAGCTTGGAGCGGGTCCTGTTCTCTGGCACCATGCGGAGGTGCTGACAATTCCCTCTGCATGCCCTTAACATTTGCCCACTTGTCAGAGTTCACTTATTTTATTTATTCCTTTTTGTAAGACACATTCGAAACAAGGGCCTGTACTTGTGGGGCTGTAGGATGCTTTTGTGTCCACCCCGGTCCCCACCCTGGCTTCGATGGGTCCTCTAATTTCTTTCCAGCCTGTCTGAACACCCTCCCTCTCTGCTCACTCCTGCTGAGGCCAACCCTATCCCTCATCTGCTGCCTGCAGCTGTCCCTGGGGGCCAAAGTCTCCTCTCTCCGCCATTGTCCTCCACTCTCCACCTCTGGCTCCAAAGGCTTTGCATATCTCCAAGCAAGATCTGGAGTGCCCTTCCAGGAACCCAGGATTTTTCTGATTTTTTTTGCAAGTTTGAGCAGAGGTATCATTGGTTGGCAGAGGGAGTCAATAATTGTGGGAACGGGGCAGGAGCTGACAGAGGGACACTTTACAGGTGGTCTTGAAGCCATAATAATAAAATAATGGCTAGTGACTGGGCACGGTGGCTCAAGCCTGTAATCCCAGCACTTTGGGAGGCCGAAGTGGGTGGATCATTTGAGGTCAGAAGTTCGAGACCAGCCTGGCCAACATGGTGAAACCCCGTCTACTGAAATACAAAAGTTAACTGGGTGTGGTGGTGTATGCCTGTAATCCCAGCTACTCAGGAGGCTGAGGCAGAAGAATGACTTGAACCCAGGAGGTGGAGGTTGCAGTGAGCCGAGATGGCGCCACTGCACTCCAACCTGGGCAACAGAGCGAAACTACATCTTAAAAAAAAATTAAAAAAATAAATAAAACATAAATAAAATAATAGCTAGTGTTTATTTAATATCTGCCATGTGCGTGTTACTTTGTTAGAGGCTTTATTTACACATGTATCTCCCTTGCTCCACTGAAGTACGTGCTATTACCACCCCCATTTAAACCAGGCCCAGAGCAGGGATGAGAAGAGCCAGTTGCTTCTCGCTTGCTTGTTAGGGGCTCTTCTTCCCCAAGCGGGGGGACTCTAAAGGTGAGCTAGGGCACCCCTCTGCCTCCAGCCAGATTGACTTGGAAGGCCGAGGAGCAGGCCCAGGGGCCTTGGGTAAAAGCTGCTCCTTCTTCAGAAGTCCCTGGGTGCCTTGTTCCAGGTCACAGTCAGAAGGTTGTTCCTGTGGTCTAACTGAAACCATTCTGTTTTAGGGTTTTCTAGAGGGACAGAACTAATAGGACAGATGCCTATATCAAGAGGAGTTTATTAGGAGAGTTGACTCACACAATCACAGGGTGAAGTCCCACAATAGGCCATCTGCAAGCTGAGGAGCAAGGAAGCCAGTCCAAGTCCCAAACCCTCAAAAGTATGGAAGCCGATAGTGCAGCCTTCAGTCTGTGGTCGAAGGCCTGAGAGCCCCTGGCAATCACTGGTATAAGTCCAAGAGTCCAAAAGCTGAAGAGCTTGGAATCTAATGTTTGAGGGCAGGAAGCATTCAGCACAGGAGAAAGATGGAGGCCGGAAGACTTAGCCAGTCTAGTCTTTCTATGTTCTTCTGTCTGTTTTTATTCTGGCCTCACTGGCAACTGATTAGATTGTGTCCACCCAGATTGAGGGTGGGTCTGCCCCTCCCAGTGACTCAAATGTTAAAGGGGGTTTGGCAACACCCTCACAGACACACCCAGGAACAATACTTTGCATCCTTCAATCCAATCAAATTGACACTCAGTATTAACCATCACACCTTCCTACCCCCAACAAATCCCTGGATTAGAGGGAATGTCGGCTGTGCTGCTCTCCTGAACTTGGGCAGTGGAGGGTGGGGGCAGGGGGGCAGCATTTTCTCTGTTATCAGGTCATTGACTTAGGTCCCCCGCCCCCCCCCCCCCCCCCCCCCCCCCGTTCAGTGGGTTGAAGAACGCGTCTGCAACACAGAGATCTCTCTTATGTAAATGCTCTTCCTTTGGGTCTTAGGCCCCTAACATTCTCCCTTTGTCCCAGGGGCTAGACCCCAGGCCAGAGGCTCTCCATCCCTCCCTCCACCCTCACTTCCCGGCCAGCAGTCCCAGCTCTTTGACTATCCTTACCGCTGTTGCCTGAGAAGCGGGGCAGGAAGCCAGTGAGGCACCCAGCCACCCTGGAATGTGTCTCTTTGCTGTTTCCACAGCCTGGCCCAGTCCTCTTCGGGCTGTGGTTGGAAGGCTTTGCTCTTTAAAAAGATGTCTTTCTTTTAGAGAGTGAAAAAGAGTTTATCATTAATGTGAAGAGACCCTGTAGGACAGATGTGTTCGGGGTCCGCATGGAAAATAGTTGAGTAATAATAGTAGAATGATTTTGGAGATAGGCAGAGATAATTTGCCCCCAGGGAAGACTTTTCTGGAATGCCTAGGAGATGGGCTGGTTGGTGTCCCCCAACCTTCGAGAGTCCCCGTATTCTTCTCAGGCTCTGCAGGATGCTTAGGTCCAGTGAGAACCTGGCAGAGATGGGGCACTCAGTGGTGCTTGATGGATGGATGAGTCATTGCAGGGGCCTTTTACAGGCAGCAGTTCTGGTTCAGATTTGAGTGGGGGCGTGGGTAGCGGTGAGGGACAGGGCTATTTTAGGGGATGCAGAGACCCTAGTCATCCCAGAGACGGGCCTGTTTATAGTTTGTACCTGCCATGGAATGACCCTGAGTGGTGAGGAGTTTCTTACCTACACAAAAGGAGCTGGGCCTGGCCAGGTGCAGCCAGTGACCTGGAAAGGTGTCCTGTGGGGTGTGGATGTATTAAGTGGCCACAGGAGTGCTGAAGAGCAGCCGGTCCCAGGCATTGGGACTCTGGGCTTCCATCCTAGCTCTGAGCCGGCTGCCCTCTCTGAGCCTCGATGTGCTCACCTGCAGAACAGAGATGCTACTGTCTGTCTCACCTCCCTGCTTCCTCCCTGGCTGCCCTATGGGTGACAGGAGCAGTTGATGTGACACTCAAAGTGGACCAGTGCCAGGGGACTTGGGGTCTGTAGGGGACTCCCTTTATGAGTAAAACAAATCCTCTAGGTCCCAGGGCATTTGGTTCTTCCTTTGTTCTGGCATTTGTCGTGTGGCCTGGTTCCTTACTTTCTGGCCTGTCTGCCCCACCCCTGCCCACCCCCACTGCACTGGTCTGGGAGCTCCTTCAGGGCAGGGGCGGCTGCTTGTGCACTGTCACCTCTCCCACATCCACCATGAGACTCAGACACAGAGCTGACCCTTCATGTTGGCCGAGTGGGGACTGCAGAGGGCAATGAGACACCACCCCAGGGAGCGAGGCAGGCAGGTCCTGCTGCCACCACCAGAGGTACTCGCAGTCCACAGAGAGTGCAGGGGTGGGTATCCATGGGCTCTGCACAGATACGGCTCAGGGGTTCAGTGATTTGCTCAAAGCAACTCAGTTTCACCCCAGGGAACCTGGTGTGATAAGCAAAGCCAGGTGCGTGATGGTGATATGCTGCACTGAACCCTGGCCCTCCTAAACTCCCGTTATTATTATTATTATTTTCATGGTAACTCTTTGATACCTGGAGATGGCTGCTTGGTCCCACGAGCTTTACGGCCTCTCAGCCCTAAGACCTGCAATCAAATTCCCAAATCCTTCAACATCCTGGGCCCCCCTTGGCCTGTCAACACCCTTCTTGACAACCCACAGGCAGGGAGGAGCCCAGGAGGTACCTGGAGCCCCAGTGGGGGCAGGGCCTTCCTCTCGATCACCTCTTTCTGTAAGGCTGTGCCCAAGCAGCGCTTTGCAAACTGCTCTAAAACTCTGCTTAGATCATGGTTCTCAATGGTGGTGAGTGTTTCTCTTTCAGATTCACCTACTCTGCTACAGGCTCAGGACTTAGGGTCATCAGCATCTCATTCCCTGGCACAAAAATTCCAAGAGGTACGTACCACTGTTTTCATTTTGTGGATGAGAAAACGGAGGCACAATGAGACAAAGTTACTTGTCTGAGGTCTGGTGGCCAGGAAATGGCAGACTGGGATTTGAACCCAGGACTGTAAACCAAGCTGGCTCTTTTTGAGAGGCCACAGGTTCAGCTGAAGTCAGCTAAAGCCTTGGATTCCTCTGGGAGGGCTGCCTCTCGCCGCACTCATTGCCTGACCGTTGGCTTTCTGTATGCCTCTGGACCTGGGATCTTCCTCACAACGAGGCCTGGGCTGGGTTTGTCTGCTGACCCGTGGAGGGAGCCTGGGAGGCAGTGACAGTAAGGTGGAGACCACTGGGCTGCATGGGGACCCGGGGAGTCACCCTGAGCTGGAAGGTCCCAGTGAGTTGTCAGCCACTCTGTGGCACTCACTGCATTCAGGAGCCAGGGGGGCACTTGGCTTTCGAGGTTAGCAGCTTCTTGAGGGCTCCAGCTCTGGCCCAGCCGCCTGGCTCTCAGACAGCAGTGGGTTCTGGAGGGTCCATAGTGGAGACCAGCCATGAACTTTCCCCAGCTGGACAGCCACAACCAGGTGCAGTTTGATTGGATTTGAGGAAGGGAGCCGGGCTGGAAAGGAGTGGGAGTGGAGAGGCCGTTTGCTTTGGAATTAAGTGCATTGAAGCAATGGATATAATGGCTTGGGAGTCAGCAACTCAGGCGCTGTTTTATTGTTTGTTTTAATTTCACTTAATTTTTGAATAAGTAATACACTCCTGTGGATTACGAAAAAGGGTATATGGTGGAAAGTCTTCCTTCTGCCTCTGTCTCAGCCACGTGGCTGCTCTGCCAGAGGAGGCATGGTTTCTCCGTGTCTGTCTGGAGATAATCTACATGCACAAGCAGATACGTATAAATGGTAATTTTAAAATATGTGTTTGCGGGGCCGGGCGTGGTGGTTCATGCCTGTCATCACAGCACTTTGGGCGGCTGAGGTGAGAGGATTGCTTGAGCTCAAGAGTTTGAGACCAGCCTGGGCAACATGGCGAAACCACATCTCACCAAAAACAAAAAAGAAAAACCAACAAACAAAAAGGCTTAGCTATTCGGGAGGCTGAAATGGGAGGAATGGGAGGAATAACTTGAATAACTTGAGCCCGGGATGTTGAGGCTTCAGTGAGCCGTGATCTGACGACTGCACTCCAGCCTGGGTGACAGAGCGAGGCTCTGTCTCAAAATAAATAAATAAATAAATAAATAAATAAATAAAAAAACATGTGTTTGCATACTACCTGCAAAACAATGTTTTGCACGTTGCTCTTTTTCACTGAATAGTGTATCTTGGAGATGCATATTAGCATACAAAGAGCTTCCCCATTCTTTAATCAGGCCTGGGTAATATTTAATTCAATTGATGCAATATCTTTTTTTTTTTTTTTTTTTTTTTGCTGAAATGCAATTTACAGACAGCAAAATGGACAACTCTTCAGTGGACAGTACAATGAACATTTGCATAAGTATGCACCCATGGGACCACCCAAATAAAACTAGAGGATACCACTGCCAAGATGTTCCTGTTATTCTGACTTCTATGACCCTACCTCGGTTTCCTTAGCTCGAAAATGGGGCTTCTATTGGGACTGACTCACAGGGCTGTTGTGAGGATAATGCAAGTACCCAATACAGTGCCTGGCACATAGGATAGATGCCAGCATGATTATCATGAAATCCCTGGTTGCTACTCTTTCTCCTGCCTCTATTTGGACTCTCTGGTTACCTCCAGTTCCCCTCTCTCTCTTACACACACACACACACACACACACACACACACACACACACACACACTCTCACTCTCACACACCGTCTTGCCACGGAGATAGACCAAGAGGGTCATTGTGTGAAGCCCAGGCTGAGTGAATGGCCTCATTGTTCCTGGGCTGAGTTCCCAGAGCCGCCCGTGTGGCATTGACCAGGGCTGGGCTGTCTAGTGGGATGTGCCCATGGGCCCCTGACCAAGGGCTGGCCACACCTGGCGAGGACACCCATCCCCCTCCTTCCTCAACGGGAGGAGGGAAAGAACACCAGTTGAGGCTGGGGCTGGGCAGGGTGCCTGAGGACACCTCCCATTCTCCAAGCTGTCCACTGTCTCCTGAATGCCAGGGGCTGGGACTGCCTGCAGATGGTGCACTTGGAGCAGAGAGGCTGGGGGCAGATCAGGAATGGGGACTAGGCGAGAAAAAGGAAGTGAAATCAAATTCACTTATCTCTCCTTCTCTCCCCTCCTGGGATGAATGAGTGTGGGCAGCCTGAGGGCCCCGCGGAAGCAGCCTGCAGGGGAACCACCTGGAAGCAGGCCTCCCCTCCCAGGGAACACAGGCTCCAGAACCACCCCAGGAGGCAGGACCCGTGGTGGCCCCTGCAGGTCAGACTCTCCAGATGTGGGAGTTCTGTGTACTGGTATTACACGTTATCTGTCCAGCCCACTGAGCTTCTGCAGGATTCCTCAGAGGGGAGGCCTCAGGGACAGCCCTGGCATCTCTGTCCTGCCCTTATCACCTCTGATGTCTGCCTGCGGAGACGTGTGCCCACTCCGCGCTACTCATCCTCATCTGCCAGCGGGGAACATGCCAGAAGGGCCTCCAGTCTTCTTGACAGTAGCCAGGGTTACACAAAGGGCTGCCTTGGGGGCCAGGAGGTAGTGAGCCCGCGTGGGCAAGAGGGAGTGAGGACTAGGGGTGACAATGTGTAAGAGGTGAGTGGGTGGGAGGCAGGATGGGGGAGCCCTGCCTGGAGGCCAGTGGGAGGACTGATGGGCCCTGGAGGTGGGAAGGGTTTATCAGACAAGGAGCATGCTTTCTGCGGGTGGAAGGTTTCTTCCCGACTTTTCCTTCCTGCTACCTGGCTGCTCCAGGGCCAGCGCCTTAGTGGCCTCATATTGTTTTAGGACATGTCATGGAGTGGCTCCCTGGGCACAGACACTGTCCCTCCTTTCCTTCCCTGCCAGTTTGGGCACCTGCCCACAGAGTTTGGGAGCAGGGGCTGTCTCCTGGGCCTCCGCTTGCACCTTGCTGCATTCTGAGCTGGATTACAGATCTGGCTTGGAACTGCCCGGCCAAGGGCTGAGGCTTTTGTGGACAGGGACGGAGGAGGGAGCTCAGCCCTGCATGGAGCCTGCCTTCTCTGCGCCAGCCTCCCTTGCCATGGAAACAGCCCCATGGAGGCCCGGGAATTACCCGGGATGGGAATTTTAATTGCAGCCCACGATCTTGTTCTGCAGTGCGCCTCCAACTCCCATCACCTCCCCAACCCCAGGCCCTGTGAGATATTCACTGTGTCATATTTTTAGATCAGACTCAGGGTTGGGGGCCTGTCTTTGGCCTTGTTTGCTTTTGGTCAGTCTGTCCCCTCATGGCCCTGTGACTGGGTGTCTCAGGATGTGCCCCGGTGCCAGATGTGTTGGGGTGGGCAGTGGGAGGTGGGGACCTTCCTAAGATGAACATGGGCCTATGGCCAGCACTGTGCTTCCACTGCAGGAAGGCTCTGAGTGGGGAGCTGGGGGAAGCACTGGGTGCCGAGAACACTCACTGTGGCTCTCAGGCCACAGGCGAGAGTGTGGCAATGGCCAGCAGAGAAGGTTAAGGAAGGTCAGCGTCTATGCTGGATCCCTTCCTCAAAGGCTAGCTGGAGCAGGCTTTTTCCTCAGAAGGAAGGGACATCTGGCTTCCTCTGCTTTTTTCTTCCTCCCAAGAACTTTGGGCTTGGAAGAGACTCACCTTGGCAAGCTCTGGACTGGACCCATGAGGTCAGAGGAAGGAAGACGAAACTCCTAGAGCATGGAGCCTCCTTTGATGAGCAGAGGACCAAATCTCCCCCAGCACAGCCCACTCCTGCCTTCCAGCTACCAGTCCCAGGAGGGCCAAGAACCCTGGGTGGCTGGGGCAGTTTGGGCAGCAGGTGTGTTGTGCAGTGGGCGGGGTCACAAGATAGGAGTTCAAATCCTGGTGTGGCTACTTCCAAGCCCTTAGTTTCTCTGTTTTCCCCTGCCAGGATTTGCTGGCATCCTCTAATTTATCTGGGGGATTTGGTTCTGTAACTGGAGAAGGAGGAGCACTTTCGGTGGCTCCAAGAATAAACAGGGAAGGGTACCCTTCTCGCTGGCCCCTCGGCCTGGATTTGAGGCTGGGATTAGAGGTTGCAGCCACAGCCAGATACGCTGTTTGCAGAGAGGACTTGGGACACTGCGGCAATGCTTGTGGGGGTCCTGGAGCCCAAGGGCCTCTGTGTTGGGGAAGATGCCATTCTCCCTGCTTCTGGTGGCCTCAGCCTGGAGATATGGGAGCATCAGGGCTTGCCCCTTGGCCTGAATATTAGCTCCCCAACAAGGGACATAACAAAGGAAGCATGGTGAGGCTAGGAGGAGGCACTCCTTCAAGTAGCTGCTTTGTCTCTGGCAGTTTCTTAGAGCAGGAGCAGAGAACATGCTAGAGGTGAATGCGGGTGACAGGTTGGTCTGGGAGTAACTTAATGTCCCTTTGAAGGATTTACAGAAACCCTTGTAGGTGAAGTAGCTTTTCAAGGGCCTTTGACTGGAGGACCCAGTGAGGCATCTACTTGAAGAAGATGTGGCCTTCTATTCATGACCTGGCAAGGCCTGGCAACCTCAGACCCATTGACCCATGGGGATGGTACGAGGAGGAAATGGGATCATATGTAGTGGCTGGCAGAAGTAAGGGCCCTACCTTTTTGTTTTACTTCAACAACAAAGAGGTTGATTCATCCAGAAGAGGAATTCATCCAGAACAGGGCAGAACTCGGGGAGAGGAGGGAAGTAAGAGGGCTTTTCCGAAAAAAGGGGACACAGTTGGAGGCTCGATTCACTTCTGCATGGCCTTGGGTAAGTCACGCAACTTCTCTGGGCCTCAGTTTGCCCAGCTGTGAGATGAGGGAGTTGGTTCAGCTCACCTCTGGGGCCCCTCCGGCTCTATTTTGAATGGGTTTCCACATCACCTGTGGAAAGATTTGCTGGGCCTGTCTGTTTTTGCCCAGGTTTTTCTAGTTGGAACTTTTTCTGCAGGTGCTGTGGGCTCTTGGGCTTGGAGTCTGGGCACAGCTAAACCGTCTTCCGTGTGCTTGCTGCCTTGTCACTGTCTCCCGTGAGACATGGGAAATTGAGGATTGCAGCAGCAGATCTTAAATCAGAGCCTGGGCCATCCATCTCCCAGAACAGACTGAAATAACAAGGTGGGTGGCACAGATCGCTGCCACATGGACAGGCGAAAGATATTAAAAAGCCAGAATCTTGAGCCCCCAAATCCCTTAACAAATTTCCAAATCCCTCAGGGACCTGCATGCGGATGAGAGAAGAGGGAATATCTCATTTTAGAGTTCCCTAGGAGGGCCAGGGGGCCACATTTCAGGAAATGCCTCTGACTGAGGGCTTCTGAAGGCCCTGCCACCTGCCATTGGCCTCCCTAGCCTGCCTGACCTCTAGCTCCTCCCTGCGGGCGCCCCCACCAGAGTCAGCCTGGCCAGAGTGGCAGAGCAGAGTGCCCAGGTACGTGGAGCCAGACTGCTGTGGCGCGCTGTTGCTCACCAGCTCTGTAAATTTGGGAAAGTTGCTTAACCTTTTTGGCTCTGTTTCCTCATCTGTAAAACGGGAATGACATTGGTTACCTCAAGGGGTTGTTTTGAGAGTTAAATAATTCACACAAAGCAAACAGCACAGGGCCTGGCCCATCTTGAGACTTCAAACATTAGCCACTAATATTAATTTCCCTACTGTCCCATAAATAAGCCCACCCAGCTGCTGTTTCCTTTCACAGGTTCTCCTGCTCTTCTGCCTTTTTACATTCCAACCATCTCTCAAGCCTCAGTTCAACTCCCTCCTCCTCCTCCAGGAAGCCCTCCCTGAATGACCCTCCAAGGCTCCACCTTCCTCTGACTTCCAAGGCTATTTTTTTTGTGTGTTTGATTACATTTGTAGTGACTTTTCTTTGCTGCTTCATTGTGTAGGATCCAAACTTCTTGAGCACAAGCCCTTTGCTTCTGTTTCCCCCTCCCTCTTTTCCCCACAGCACCTGTGACAGTGCAACCCACACCATAGGTGCTCCTAAAACACCCCTGTTTGTCAAGTGGGGGATTCCAGAAACTGGAAACAGAATCCTCGTGTTTCTGAGAGCGGGTCTTTTGTCTATTTTTAGAGTTTAAATGTTCTTCAAAAATTTCCCAAATTCCACTCTATCTTTACATTACAACCACACCAATCTTTTCATGTCAGCCAGATGTACTTTTCCCTCCTCTCTACCCGAAATACATCAGAATTTGAAAAATGAGGCGCTGGATCTGGTAGTGCAAGATAGAGAAAGCTTTCTCTAAACCCTGACTATTCTCGTCAGCCTGAAAACTTGGGGAGGGATTAGCTCTGGGTGAAAAGGAAGGTTCTGATGGCTCAGTCCAAGAGCTTCGTTTTTTATAGAGGGACAGTCGGGATTTGGAAACATGAAGTCTTGGCTTTTGGAAGGTCAGCACCACTCTTGTTAGGCATCCCAGTATGCTGCCACTCCCTGG